TTTTTTTTCAATTGTTTCTTCTGAATCCAGGAGGTCAGTATCAGTCTGTGACACAGAACAAATCCATGGAAAAGAGAATGTCAACTCTACTATGACAACTCATATTTGGACTAATTACAACACTTTGTGTTTTGTTTCATGCTTTACTTTTGTTCATGCCCTTCAACACTGATGTGATCAGTCTATAGCAAGAAAGGATGCAATGTATGATCATATGTAATTTATTTTACTCCTTTCTCATAAAATGAATCCATTATTGCTGGAGAAACATCTTTCCAGGAATTTGGACTAAATGATCTAAATCAAAAATAAACTTGCACATAGCAGCAGGAGATTGCTCATATTCCTATGATATGGTTTGTTATATTTTTCTCAGTGCTTGGCACTGAACTGGATTCTTTTCCATGATGGGCAGTTGATCTCTCACTGATCCTCTCCCACAGACATTTCTAATGGTCATGTGGGTTTGTAAATCCGATTTCATAAAATTTTACACCAAGCTCTTAAATGAGTTCTCTCAACACAGGAAGACATTGCTACAGGAGAAACTACATGCTAAATGGAAGCAACATTCACAGTTCCTGTACTGTATTATGCATCTCATTTGTAAACATGAGTAACAGAATCTCTTCTTTCTTTGTTCATTTAATTAAAATTGATTCTATACATCTCACTGAAATTTTTCTACTTTCTATATTTTGAGAAAAATGCCATCCAGTCAGGCCTGCATCAATTTCCTGGTAAACTGCTGCCTTCTCATTATTCATCTCCATTCACTCGCATGCCATTATTCATCTCCATTCACTCGCATGCCATTATTCATCTCCATTCACTCACCTTCCTGTTGCAATGAGGTTGGTTCTGCTATTTATGCATATACTGCATATATGGCCATCAGCCCTCTTTAAAACATGGATGTCCAAGCATCTTAACTTTCCCAGGAATCTTTCATAATACAAATTATTCCTCACTTTGTATTTGATCCCTTTCTCTGTCTGCAATATCCTCTGACCATTCTCCTTGCCAATCCCTATATAGTCAGACAAGCATGTTCCATTTAAACCCTGTGTCTATGTACAGCCTTTCATTCTCTCAGCTTTTCCTCCCTCTGGCAGATAACCTCACTTTTGAAGTCTCCATTCATCTCTATCTCTA